AAGCAGGAAGATTCTTGCATGGATGGACCTTGTCTGCAAAACGTGCTAGGAAATAGGTCAAGGAAACTGCCTGGCAAGCATTTGGAAGCAGTCACCCCTGGGTGTCAGCCAGTTTCTGGGAGCTGAGCCATCCACCCCAGTCCCTTGACAGATCTCTCTAGAAGGAATAATATTAAAATGGGGCTCCTCTTTTGAGTCGGTGCAAGAAATCATGGGTTTGCGTAATTACAGCTCCAGAAATTAGTATGGCGTTATTCCTGGCCACAGAGAAATCAGTGTAGCTGTAACTTGCTGAGCCCCCAAGTGGCCCTCCTCTCTGCTAGGGAAGCACTGGGCTCCTTCCTCTGTTGTCAAATGTGACCCAGTGGATTCTGGGCAGTTGTGTTTGTGCAGTTGACCCTTGAACAAGGGTTTGAACCGCGTGAGGCCACTTATACATGGATTCTTTCAGTAAATACATACTACAGTACTGCATGATCCGTGGTTGGTTGAATCTGGGTTCTATAAAGTTATACATGGATTTTTGACTTCACAGAGGTCAGCGCCCCAAGCCCCCTGTTGTTCAAGGGTATTTGTGTCTTCTAAGATTTGGAAGATGGTGGGAAATTCTGTTACCTTCATCCCTAACACATAGCACAGGCCCTGCAAAAAGTAGGATCTCAATGAATGATTCTTGGAAGAATGCGTGAGTGAAAGAACAAATAAATATAGGTTAACTATAGATATACGTATGTGTATGTGTGCATATAAACATATTTGTATGTCTGTGTGTTTGTTTTAATGGTTAGAGTCTCAACTATAGTTGAGATTCTGACCTGACCAGGGTGAATTTTTTAGGATCTAAGACATAGATTTCACACCTTCCGGTCTGTTAAGGTAGGAAGATGTCACTAGATCCAGTAACCCTACAAATTCAAAATCTAAGAGAATGGTCGAAGCTCAAAAGGTGAGCCAGCTTCTCAATAACGAAGAGCTGAAATAGCACATGCTTATGTCTGGTGCGTGCCTGGGCTGGAAGGGGGTCGTGCTGACCCAGGAAATGTTCTGACCCTCCAAATCGACCCTGGTGATTAAAGGGGCAGCAGGTGGCACGGGCAGATTGCTTTCACAGGCTGTAACTCCTACTCACCAAGCGGAATTTTCAACACCCAGGAAATCTCTGACTAGCTGGCAAGAATGCAAGAAGTTTGCATGTAAATTGCATTTCCTCTCTGAAAGGCCCTGTCCTTTGGAGCCTAGCCCCTGTGTTGCTGCCCAGATATTTCACAAACACCGCTGTGTGCCAATCCGAGGTCATTCCCACCCCGGCCCTGCACACACACCTCTTGGCCCTGTCCCCCAGTGTCCTCTGATACGTGACAAGCCACACTAACTTCATTTCCCACATTTATAACCACAAATTTCTTAAAAAAAATTTCCCTGGCTGCCAAGCTTCATTCCATACTAGAGATCAGGTAACATGATAGTCTGAGCACATTCTCACAGTGGGCTGGTGTCAGAGATCTGCACCTGGAAGAAAGAGAAAGCTTGAAATCGGTCTTAGCCAAGTAGAAAGCAGATAATGTATCTTCCAGGCAAACACAAGGTTACAGTAGGCTTCAGTCTGGCTTCTTTATTAGCTAGGATTAAATCTGGCTAAATATGAGAGAAAACTCCAATTAACAGTGACTTAAACACATAAAGTTTTATTATCTCAAATAAAAGACGTGGAGAAGTAAACAGGTGTATGAAGCTCTTTCCAGCTTTTGCCTCTGGGGTGACCCTGATTCTCAGGTCTAAAATGGTTGCCACAGCTCCAGGCATCAGACCCATGTTCCAGGCAGCAGCAGACTTCCCAGAAGTTGCACACAGTACTTCCACATGTATCTCATTGAGTAGAATTTGTGGATATATGTGGTCATCTATCCACACCCAGCTACAGTGGAGATCAAAGGCTAAAGAAAATGTATAGCCTTTATTCTGGGAATCCAGAACGTAGAACCGTTTATAAGACAACTGGCCTAATCTCTTTGGAGGTGACTGCTCTAGGTTAAAGAGACTGAAGAAACATATAGGTGAGCCTTGATTGACTATGGAAGTTATTTTTAGGACAACAGGGAAACTTGGAATATGGACTAAATGTTAGATGATATTAGAGAATCATGGCTGATTTTCTTAGGTGAGATCATAGAATTATGTTTTCATAGGAACTTATTTTTCTTTTTAGCAAATGCAGGCCATGAAGTCCTTAGGAGTTAAGTGTCCTGACAAGCACCACTTCCTTCAGAATGGTTCATCAAAATACAGTATATAAATAGGTAAGAAGATTGATAAGAAACATATGGAAAAGACAGAATTTCTGAGTCTAGGTGGCGGGGGTATGGGTTGTGTTATACTATTCGTTCAACTTTTCTTGTGTCTAGATTTCTTATAATAAACACTGAGGCAGAATAATTGTTTGCTTTGGCTGTTCCAGTCTTTTTCTTTTTTTTTTTTTTGCTTAGTTTTTTTTACTCTTATTTTTTATTGAAGTGTAGTTGATTTACAATGTTAGTTTCAGGTGTACAGCAAAGTGATTCAGTTATACATATACATGCATACATATATTTCAGTTTCTTTTCCATTATAGGTCACTACAAGAAATTGAATATAGTTCCCTGTGCTATACAACAGGCCCTTGTCGTTCATCTATTTTATATATAGTTGTGTGTATCTGTTAATCCCAAACTCCTAATCTTCCCTTCCCCACCATGCTCCCTCCCGGTAACCAGTGTGTCTTCTGTGTCTGTGAGTCTATTAATTTCTATTAATACTGCCTAATTACAAAGAAAAACGAGCAGCTTTACAGTGGAGGGGGCTGGCAGACACACCGGCAAGTGACCCACGTAAACATCACTGTTGATCACGCACCACCTGGTCGGACACGAGGCGCACACAGCACTGCTTCTGTAGCGTTCCCACCGAAGCTGCACGGCCCAAATCTGGTCGTGCAAAAACCCAGACAACCCCAAACGATGGGCGTTCTCACAGTAAGTGGTATCATCTTCAAAAGTGTCAAGGACGTGAAGTCAAGGACAGGTGGGAGCTTCTCCAGACAGAAGGAAACCAACGCGTAGACACGACAACCAGATGCAACATGGGATTCTGAACTGGACACTTGTACAGTGAAGGACAGGGTTGGGACAGTAGTAGCTGGAGCTGGCCTGCAGTAGTTTTCTGTTGCTGCGTAGCACATGTCAGTTTAGTGGTCTGAAACAACATCCGTGTAGCAGCAGTTTCATGTCAGAAGTTGAGGCCCAGCAGGGTTCTTTGCTCACAGTATCAGAAGGCCAGCATCAAGGCGTTGGCCAGATTGGGTTCTTACCCAGAGATTTTAAAAAAATCTGCTTGCAAATTCATTCAGATTGTTGTCAAAGTCCAGTTCTTTATGGCTGTATGTCTGAGAACCTGTTTCCTTGCTGGCTGTCAGCAGGGGCCGACACATTCCTTCTCACGTGCCCCCAACCCATCTTCAAAGCAGTAGCAGCCCTTCGAGTCCTTCTCACGCGTTTCGAATCTCTCCAGTATCTTCCTCCCCAGCCAGAGAAAACTCTGGTCTTAAAGGGCTTGTATGATTAGATTAAACCCACCCAAATAACCCCTGCTCTTCAAGGAGGCTCCTATCTTAAGCTATGTAACATGACACAGTCAGGGGAGTCATACAAATTTGTAGGTTCCTAGGATTAGGGCGGGGCATTTGCGGAGGGGGAAGGCATTTTTAGGAATTCTGCCTACCTCAGGCCTGAAGATTAGATGGAATTAATGTATCAGTACTGATATTCTGATTTTGATGGTTGTATTATGGTTGGCTGCAGAATGTACCTTGTTTGCAGGAAATCCACACTAAAGTATTTGGGGTGATGGGGCATCAGAGCAGCAATTTACTCTAATATGATTCATTATTTTAAAAAAAAAAGTTATTTGTATTGTTCTTCTTGAAACATTTATGTATGCGCAGATAGATTTAAAAAATGTACTTGCATATACAAAAAAAGTGGAAAAATATAGATATAAAAGTTAACTGTGATTACCTCTGATTTGTGGAACTGAGGGGGGAAGAGGTAGACAGCTTTTATATGGGGGCAATATTGTTTAATTTATGGTAGGTATTATTTTCATAATAAGATTCTTTGGAAAAAAAAAAAAACAGGAACAAGATCTTTGAGAAAGCCAGCAGGAGACTGGCTATGGGTGTCTTGGCAGCAGGAGTCGGCCAGACCAAGGCTGAACGGTGAGGCTACAGGACATGTTGTCTCCACAGCAGATGCAGGCCTCTCCACAGAGCTACTGAGAAATCAAATTAAAAATAAAACCTGGACTGAAATGATGGGAACGAAGGTAGCTTCCTGTTGCTGTGAAGGCGTGCTGACGTCAGCAGCACTACCCAGACAAGGCATTCAGCCTCTCATCACCATTTGCTTTTCGGTTTCAAAAAGGTTAACGTTTCTCTGTTCCTTCAGTGACTGACTAGACCTCTTTAGCCTCTTGCCTAGTGTCTTCAGGCACCCGGAGAACCTGCTTGCCCGATGGCGCCTGAGGCGCAGACATTAAAGCAGCGGGCAGCAAGCCCGTTTCCTGAACTGTTTCCCTCCACAACTGGTGTGTTGAAACCCAAACCGGCAGTATCTCAAAATGTAACCTTGTTTAGAGACGGCCTTGACAGACGTAACCAAGTTAAAATGAGGTCACTGAGCGGGCCCTAATCTAGAATGACCGGTGTTACTGTCAGAAGAGGTCAGGACCAGACACAGTGAAGCCTGTGTGCAGACACAGAAAGGACAGCCATCTCCAAGCCCTGATCTTACAGCCTTTGTCTAAGTTTGAATGAACTATTTTCAAAATACAGTTAAAAACTCCAAATAAATAAGAATAAAGATAGAATGAAAGTCAAACTGCTGGGAAGCCCACTGCAGACCCCAGGTAGCAGATACCCGTGGCATCTGGGTGAAGCCTGTGCCCTCCAGTGAAGGCTGGGATTTAAATCCAGTTTTTAAATAGCTTTATTTTTTCCATGATCCACCCCCTCAAAATGTCTAATGGCCTTGTAATATCGAAGGATCCTAGGATTCAAATCTAGAAAGAATCGCAGATGCAGTTCCTGGTCTGACCAGTGATTGAAGAAAGCCTGGTCTTGCTGCTGGTGACCCTTGTGGTTTGGGGAATATGGCTCTTCTCTCTCAATCAGCCATAAAGGCTTGCCTGGTTTAGCAGGAAGTTTCCAGATCAGGCTTCCCACGTCCCATCCTCACCTCCGATGATCTGCTCCAATGGCATCTGTGACTCTGGTAAAACCTTGCTCCCTGGAAAAAGAAAACAAAGCAATTTCAGCAAATGGTAAAGGAAGGGCCCTGCTCTTAATGGAAGCCCATGTGCACCTAGGCTCTCTCTAGTCCGTAGCTGCACCTGCCTCGCTCTCCCAAATGCATGGCTCGTGCCCTCTACACTGCCTTCACCCAGGAATTTACCCAGGTCTTCAGACCAGGAAGGAAATAAATTTTGAGTCCTGACAGCTCCCTGAGGTCAAGCCAATGTTACTGAATTCATGGGAATGCCGCCAGAACTCCTCAGGCCTGTAAACACCACTGCCTCAGAAGTTAATCTTGAATTCCTTGGCACTGTTTATCCTTTGTCAAAAGAGCAACACAGTAAGCTTCCCCTGAGTCCCAGGCGTACCCATCAAATGCTATTTCAGTGAAGAACAGAGGCAGATGAATACCATTCCCTTGATTTGAGTCATCCTGAGTTGATACCACATTAACTTCTCCTGGTTCCAGCCACGTGGCCCCACTCACTTCAAAAGAGCCTCGAGCTCCCGCTTGACCCCGCCCACCACGGGCGGCCCGCGGTAGGTGAGGGCCGTGTACAGCTGCACCAGGGAGGCCCCCGCCCGGATCTTCTCCAGCGCGTCCTGCCCGCTGCCGACGCCGCCAACCCCGATGATGGGCACCGTGCCTGCAGAGAAGCACACGGCAGCACCGTGAGGACCAGGAGCTCAGTGTGGTTTCCGCCTGGCCCCTGCTGAGCACTGCGGGTTCAGGAACTCCGACCTAATCATACGCCCCCGGAGCCCAACCACAAGCAAATCTGAAGACACAAACACCGACTTCTTGCCTTGGGTAAGTGCGTACATCTCCCGGATGGTTTGTGTCGATAAATCCCGGAGGGGCTTCCCGCTCAGCCCTCCCGTTTCAGAGCGCAGGGCACCCTGGAGGCTGGCAGGGCGACTCACGGTGGTGTTCGTGACAATCAGTCCATCGATGCCCAACTGCAGTGTGAGACAGAGAAAGAGCTCCCCCGTAAGGGCACTTACCGGCTTGGAGACGCTTCCCTGTGGTGTGGAGACAGCACGGGTCTGGGCGCCTGCAGCTAAGCCCCTGGAAGCAAGAGCTAGGCCAGACCTCACTCACTGCTTCCTGAGCAAGTGTCAGGGTGAGCCTAAACATGACAGCAGCAGCCATCATGTACCCACCACTCGGATGGTTCCGCCAGGACAGAGTTTAATCCTTAGAACAACTCACTTCAGAGCATCCTGTCCAAGACCTCCAGGTAGTAAGCGGTGGAAAGAGGATATGAACCCAGGACTGATGGGCTCAGTGTGTGTTTCCCCTACACCCCAAGACACACAGACCTGGTGCTGGACTGGAGAGAATACTCCAGACTGAACAAGACTGAAGGATGCAAGCACAGCCTTAAAGCCCTTGCTGAATGAAGACGAGGAAAGAGGAGGGAAGAGACAGGAGAAAAGAACCATTCAAACATGTATTCAGACATTTACTTCTTGTTACAGGCATACCTTGTTTTATTGCACTTTGCAGATACTGCAGTTTTTACAAATTGAAGGTTTATGGCAACCTTGCATGGTCAGATGAAGGTTAGCATTTTATTTAGCAACAAAGTATTTTTTAATCAAGGTATGTACTTTTTTTTAGACACAATGCTGTTACACACTTAACAGACTACAGTATAGTGGAAGCATAAATTTTATATGCACTGGGAAACCACAAAGTTCATGTGACTGACTATATTGCAGTGATCTGGAACTGAACCTGAAATGTCTCCTAGGTATGCCTGCATGTGATGAATTACATCATGACAGACCAAACCAGCCCTCGATAGAACAGGAAGGAAACCACAGAGACTGCTGTCTGGGCTAACCCAGCTGGCCAGGTGGCTCTACAGGCAGTGAAGGGCATCCCCCAGGCCCCGGCTCGCACCTCTCTCACCACACTGGCGATATCCTCCTTGTCCTGGGCTGTGAGGTCAGGAGCAATCTTCACCAGCACAGCCGGCTTGTGGGCTACCTTCAGGGCATCCCTCTCCTGTAGCACCTAGAACAACATGGAGCTGTGGATGGGGACTCCCGAGACTGCAGCTGATGGTACAGCTGTGACCTGCAGCTGCAGAACGGTGTGTTTTCACACCAGTTAACAAACTAAAAAGACAGCAGTTTCTCCTTTTCAGGAAACAAAGCTCTCAATTATGCAAAAGACCCCCATCAAGATGAGTCTGATCCCATTCTCTTGAACCAAGGGACCCCAAGAGTGAGTCCCTACTGTCATTGGCATTGGCTAATATTTTAAGGTTTATTTAGACTTTTTTTCCTTAAAGAGATAACAGATGCTGTCACAAGTACTCTTTGTGACAGGTCATTCCCTTCTTCCACTCATTAATGTGCTAGATGCTAGGGACAGAGTGGTAAATGAGAGAGACATGGTCCCTGTTCTCACAGATATAATGGATTAACAGCAGGGAGAGAGAACTGAGTAATTAATTACTGTCGAGTACAATCAGTGTTATATAAGGGAGTCCTAACTGGCCCACGTGTTACAGACAACTCCTGAATACTGATGTGGAAGCTTCGCCCTAGAGAATGAATAGGTAGGACAGGCTGATGGAGCAGGGCCTAGAGATGTAATTGCCCACCTTGGTCAGCAGGCGGCGCAGCTCAGCCTTTCCCTGAAGGCTCCGCAGCCCAGCCGTGTTGGGACTGGACACGTTCACGACCAGGTAGTCGGCCAAGGGGCCCAGGACGCGAACCCCCTCTGCGTAGTCCGAGGCAGCATCCACCGAGGTCTTATTCTTCCCCAGGTTTATTCCCAGTGGCAGCCCATCTGTAAATATTGCCGGTCAGGATTTTATCCCCACACACCGCTTCCTGTGCAACATTTTGAAGCCATCCTTGACTCAGCAGCCCACACAGTTACAGGCCTTCCCACTCCAAATGTGACCTCTCCTGCACCAGCCGACCAACTCTGTGAACCACTGCGTGGGGCTGCTGCCTGCTGACCAAGAACCCGCCTGCCGCCTTCGTCTGCGGAGCCATGTTTGGGCAAACTGCTAGGATGTTTTACTGCTGTGTGCCCTTTTTCTTTTTAAAAATTTAATGGAAAATGAAAAAATTAGGAATGCAAATACTAGTGATTAAAACGGTAGGGCTCATAGGTGCAATACAACTGAACAGACAAATCAGTAGCATCAGAGGGGCAACAGTTTACTCTCTAGGGCCGCTTATTGGACGTGGGTCAAGTGACTGGGTGTGCAGTTGTGAAAAAAAGCAAAATTACAAAATATGTACAAAATACTGGAAAACATGTTCAATTCTCATGCCCAAAATGTAGAGGCAGAATGATTTTATAATTTCCGTTCTCCGAGAAAGGACTCCTCCCGGTAACAAGGGTGACCAGATATCCCATTGCTCCCAGGACAGCCCTGATTTCTCCTGTAGCCTGGGCATAATTATTAATGCCTGTACCCCTTCCACTCTCAAGTGTCTTAATTTGTACAGTAAGTGATATGGCCACCTTACTTTAAAATCCAGGGAATTATCACTTGACTTGTATTTTCGACTTAGAAAAACACATTTCAGAAACACACTTTGTGTGAAAGAGAGGGCTTGTCTGTACTTGATTCTCCTAAGATACCACCTTATCTGCAAAGGCTGACCTGTATCAGTGGTACCAGATGCTTTTTCCACCTGTTGGCTGGGAAAAGACCTGGAAGGTCCAGTTAGGTCACAAAACATGAGTCAGGTCAGGGAGGACTGAAGAACATCCAGTACTGCTAACTACTTCTCATACCCTAAGTGCAGTCACCGGTCTTATAATCAGCTTGAAAGTGAGATTTGTGTAGCTAATTTCATGGGTGGAAGGTGAGGGAGGGGCTCAGAACCCGATCAGACAAGTTCTGTAACAAGGTGTTCCAAGCTTCTCAAATCAAGCGAAGATGATTTGGAAGCTCTTAACTCTTTCCCACACAGGTAACCCGGCTTAAAAGAGTATGTTTTCATGTAGCCAGTGGATCCTTCATTAGTAGTCATTAGTCCAAAATGACAAGATTTTGGAGTTAGACAAAATTGGTCAATCACTCTGTCCCCTCAGGGCACCAAGGCTTTTAACAACTCACGTTCCTTGGCGTGGTGCTAGCAAAAAGCTGTCTTCAAGGCTTCTCGCTGCTGGTGAGCACCACATGCAGAGCTCTGCTGTGGGGTTTTGTTTTAATCCAACAAATGTTAGCGCCAGACTGGGGGTGAGGGGACAAGCGAGGGAGAATAGGGGAGAAAAGTGGTACAGGGGGCACTGAGGACAGTTAAAAGAAGGAAAGGGAGACAAGAAGGCCGGAGAGTCCCACAAACCCTGAAAGTCCTATCAAGACGTTCAAAGTTCCCCAAATGGGAAGGCCTGCAAGATAGCAAAGGCTGGTTCTGCCGAAGCCAGGGAGTTCCAAACAAGGTCATGTCCCACTCCCAAAATCAGATGGCTAACTGCCTCTGCCCTTTCAACTTGCTTCTGGAAGTGAATCCAATATCCAAAGGTTTTTCTCATCTCACCACCAGGACACTTAATGAGGCTAACCTCCTGGAAGGGGTTCACAAGGAGCCCAAGGAGGAGGATAGCCATGGCCCCACACAACCTCAGAGGACACCTGGGAAGATACAGTGAAGATGACACAGCACCAAGACCTCTAGAGCAACCCGAGGGACAGTCAGGCAGAGAGCCCCAGGGAACAGACATCGGCATCTCCAAAGGCAGCCCTCAAAAATGCATGGTGTTTGCAGACAAGTCGTGAAAGCTGTTTCCCCCGATGCCAGGAGGAGTTATCGCTGAGTGGGGGAGAGAGTGAGTAATTATAATGTTCTTTATGTATCTCTGTATTTACTAATGCTTCTGTAATCAACATGTATTATTCATATAATGGACAAAAGGACATCAGAGCAGGGCGTGGGAAGACAGCTCAGTTTGTGATCACACCTTAACTGCCTGCGTGATCATGGAGCAGCCACTCGGCTTATTTCCAAGGTGCCCCGGTTATGATAGGACACAGGTTACATAATGAGGCAGGAACTAAGTGTATCTTTGCTCAGTTGTGAAATTCACTTAAAATCTTGAAGGCTGTGGTGGAGCCAGGAAAATGCCTCTAGGGGAGGAGCCCTGAGTTCCACAGTGTTTCCCTATTGCTTAATCATGTTCATTTCACTAGGAACGTCCTGACTTTCCCCAAGTTTCCTTCCAACAGCTGAAGGAAAGGCCCTCTGATGCAGCCCCCATTACCTCCTGTGAGCCTGGCCTGCGTCTGCTGTCTGGCCCGTAGCCTGTGTTCCACCACCGCGAGCCCGTGACTGTTGAATCCGTACCTGTCGCACACAGAGGATGGGGGAGGGGACAAGGTAAGAGAACCTCGGCCAGAAAGCAGACATTGGAGAGATGGTTCCATGGCCATTTTCACCCTATACTATAGCTTTTAAAAAGAGGGAAAAAAATTCAGAGAGCCAGATATTAGACTGCTGAGGTCTAAACATCTCTGGAACTCCTAGAGAACTTGCCAGAACACATTTAGCACAAAGGGAAAGATTAAAATTTGCCCAACAAACCACTAGCCAACTCGCACTGTAAACAGCCCAGACTGGGCCACACAGTTGCCCCCAGGCCCATCAGGATCGGCCCCCCTCCTCCGCAATACCCGCCGCTCCCCCAGCGGAGCCCTCACCACTGATAACCCACCTTCCCACCTGCTGCCTGTGCTCCATCAGCACGCCTCCTGGAATCTGTCCTTCCACTCCATTTCCCCATCTTTTCTGCCTATTAAATTAACCTCTGCCTGGTCCAGGTCAAACGCTCCCTCTCCTCGCAGAAAACTCCCAGCCACAAATGATCTCTCACCTCCTGGCATTTATAGAGTGCTTTGTACCTGTCTTTCTCCTGGCTCGGGACATATGTATATGCTTCAGTTCCCCTACTGCGTTACAATCTTAAGGACAAGGGACATGTCTTCTCCATCACCTGTCACTAGACCTTCCACAAAGGCAGGGCCTTGTCTCTCTCGCTCACCACTGTGGGTTGCTGACCTAATGGCTATCCTCCCTCCCTCCTTCCTTACTGGTGGAACCCAGCTCCCCTGACACAGGGTGAAAATGCCAATGACTCCCTTCCCAGCCCCACTGGCGACTGAAGCATGGATGTGTGATGGAGCTTGGTCGCCGAGACACAAAGTGATGCCAGGGAGCTTCTGGGAAAATATCCCCTACCCGCTATATCCATACCTCCTCTTCCCTTTCTGCTCTGATGTCCACACACAAGGACGTATGCTTGCAGCTAGGGTAGGCGGCTTACAGACAAGAAGCGAAGGCCCAGAGAAGTTGGACCAGAGTCCTGACATCACCCCGCTGCTCAACCATCCCTAGAACTGCCTACTATACCTGTTTTGAGAAGAAAATAGTAACAAATGCCTATTCTTTAAGCCACTTTGTTAACTTGCAGCCAAAAACACCTGGGAGATACATGCACTCGTCGACTTAGTGTTCATTCAGCACCCACCCTGTGCTACACAGAGCAAGGAGGCTGAATGCACATGTGCTCAGAGCACACTCTCCTCCCTCTCCTGCTGCTTCTCACCCCTGGGATTCTGCCAGGACCGTCATCCTGGTACCTGCAGTTATTTGGGGTAGCTGAATCATAAACAAATATTTTTTGCCTGAACATTCTGCAGATATCGATCCCAGCCTGCAGCACAGGAGAAAGATCAATAACTTGATGTCTAATGCTTGCAAATTTCCCTGAAACAAGCACAATGTGGCATGTGCAGCCAACTAAAGCTCCCAGACATCAGTCTCCCAGAAGGCCATTAATGGTCCCAAAGGTGCCTCTCAAATCCCCATCAAAGGGGCTCTAAAAATTCTGTTACCAAAAAGGGGGAACTTCTTCACTTCTGGATGTGTTGTAGTGAAAGTTGCCCAGGGATTACAAGGAAAAGGGCTGTACACAATCTAGAAGGATCTCTCTTCCTAAAAGCAGCTGTCTATGTTGACTGTTAAATTTTCCAGTTTGCTAGAGGCTGGGGCTGAGCTATCAGATGCAAGAGCCACTGGCCACGTGTGGTCACGGAGCCCTGGAAGCCCAGCCAGTCCAAACCAAGAGTGCTGGATGGAAACCATGCCGGGTTTTGAAGACTTGCTACAAGTAAAAGAAGGTAAATAGCTAATCATCTATATATTGCTTATATGTTAAAATGATGATACTTAGCATGTTTTAAGTATTTATAATTAGCATAATGATAACTTACAAATAATAAGTCAAATGTATTACTAAAATTAATTTCATCTATTTCTTCTTATTATGTTATTGTGACTACTGGAATATCTTAAGTTATATATGGTATGCACGTGATATTTCTCCTGGACAGGGCTGGGCAAGGGTCCTGGAGTAACAATGTGGAAAAAGCAGACTCTAAAGTCAAGTAGGCTGAAGTCCATACCCAAGTTCTCCCGCTTCTGATCCCGTGAGTGGAGCTGCTGTGTAACTCTCCCAGCCTCAGTGTGTATATGTGTTAAACTGAAATCATAAAACCTGCTTTTACGCCTACACAGAGAAGATGCTCAACATGGTTCCCAAACATTCCAAATGGCAGAAAACCATCCCCCTTGTATGACAGGAAAAACACCTGAGTGGCCTGCTGGGAAGAAGGCCCCGTTACTTTGGGCCACTCACCTACCTGTTAATGACAGCTTGGTCCTCGGGGAGGCGGAAGACGCGGGGTCTGGGGTTTCCTTCCTGAGGTTTTGGGGTAACACTGCCTATCTCAACAAAACCAAAGCCCATCTTGTAAAGTCCATCCACGGCTTCCCCATGCTTGTCAAATCCTGCAGCAATTCCTACGGGATTTCGGAACTTATGGCCCAGGACTCTCACTTCCTATAATGAAGGAGACAAAATCACAGACACACAAGGCTGTGCTGGTGTTTCTCAGAGCGTGGTCCTCAGCACACCTATGTCAGACTCACCTGGGGAACTGGTTAAACATCAGATCCCAGGGCCCATCCCCAGACTAAGGAATCAGAATCTTCGGGGAAGCTGGGGCAGAGTGGAGCTCTGAGGGAATCTAGTCTTAACAGTGCTCCCCAGCTGGTTCTGGTGCCAGCTAGAGTTTGAGAACCATCTGGCTTCCTCATCACCAGGAGAAAAACTGCTTCCACCATGGGTTGAGCAGGAGATGGGCACTGTCTTTTCCAATTGTGGTTAAGAATCATACCTTCTTGTCCACTTTCCTGGTGGGAGGGAGTGGCTCATTGGTTCCAGCCCCTAGATAGTGCTGTTCTAAAATAGGATCAGGCAGCAAAATCCTTAATTATCTTAATTATTAGTCAGCCCCTGCTGCACCCCTCCCCAGGCTGGCGATAAAAAGCCCCAGCAATGTCCCCATGGCTCCTGTGGGCGTGGGAGGGAGGAGAGTGCTTGGCTGGGCACAGCTGACTGCTGGGCCCCAGAACCAGGCAGGTTCTTCTCTGTCAGATGTGGGGTGGCTTCCAGATTGTTCTCTAGAATGAGAGCAACTGAGGCCTAATTACTGTCTGATCTAGCCTGACTCCTGAGTGATTCAGGATTCCTGCCCTGATGGAGCCAACAAATCTAGTAGTGAGATAAATATATTAAAAGGTGGAAAAGAGATCATAAAGCCAGCAGTTGCATACAGGACGGAAGGAGGCTGGGACAGGAGATGTATCCTTTCCTCAAAGGGCTGGGCTCGACCTGCTCCATCAGATTAGATGTTAGTGACTCTGGCTTGCTGCCCTTTTTAGCAGAGCTGAACACTGAGCTACCTGAGACCTCGGCGAGGCAGAGGCAGGGTGGTGGTGAAGGGGACAGATGGCAAGCTCAGACTCCATGGGTTTAAATCCTGGCTCAGCCACTTCTAGCTGTGTGCCTTTGGGTAAGTCACTTAATTACTCTGTACCTCAGTGTTCCTGATCTGTAGATGGGGATGACAGTTTTTTTGCAGGGTGATGACTTGGGACTCTGGTTTTCAAAAGGATCATCCCCAGCTGAATAAACTAGGGCACTCTAACCTTGACCCTTGTATCTATCACACAGGGTGTTACAGGAGCACCTACCAGCATGTCAGAGTCCTGAAACGTGGCACGAGGAAGGAGCCCCAGGGAGGTGACGTGAATGGCCAGCCTGTGGGCTGTCTCGGGGTCCAGCAGCCCCTGCAGAGCCGGCATCAAGTGTTCCGCATAGAAACGCTCATCCCCCGTGGCTGTCAGGTAGGAAGCGAAGAGAAGTCCTCCGCCCCCTAGAATCACCACAGCATCCTGGGCCCGCTTCTGGAAGAAAGAGCCAATAGGGCTCCCTCAAGGCTGGGCTGCAGCGCCTTCTCTGAACCCTTTACACACGCACAGAGGACATAAAAGACCTTTCATAGGAAGCGATGTCCTTAGCCTTCAGCTAACACTGGTCTTCTTCATTTCTTGCTCATGTATCGGCCTCTACAGTCAGGGCTGTATCTACACTTCAACTGACACACACAACTCTGGCCCTGAAGGACTCCAGGCCAGGTGTTTCAAGAGGGGCAGTACTGCCCCCTAGGGACGCATGGTGGGCATCTCAGGGGAATGCTGATACATTTAGTGGGCAGGAATCAGTAAAGTCAGAACTGACCCTATCCTGTATGATGTTTGAACATCCTATTGATGTTCACTAAGTAAAAAATATCCGTTCATACTGTCTGAGCCTAGAACTGCCAACTCTATTTCACCACATACATACAGTTTCCCGTGTGGTTTTCATCTGCACTGACTTTCCAGGGATGACTATACTGTTTGGCACAGAACAGTAACAAGATCACTCACCATTTCAGAAAATCTCATCCAGAACGGTACAGTGGTTTGCTTGGGATGTTTGCCAATAAAACATACCTGTGCCTCTAGAATTTCTAAGTAGAGGCTTAAACACCTATCTAGGTGACTTATGCCCTAATATTTACATGTCAAAATACATATCATTTTATTATAAATTCATTTAGCCTTTACATTCGTTAGAACATTATGTTGACTTTTTAAAATTACTTATAGAAGATTGTATTATAAATTCCATTTCAGGATAGTGACGAGGGTTGCAAAACTTTTTAAAAAGGAGCATCAGGTCTCCTTGGATCAAGCTCAAACATTGCTCATAATGCTTTTCTCTAATCACTGCCAGATGCTGAGTCACTTACTCATTCATTCACTTAGCACATAGTGACTGAGCACTCAAAGGTGGGCTGAACAGACTTGAGTCCCTGCTTTCCTGAGTACAGTCTCAGGAGGAGACAGAAATCAATGATAATGCAAATATAACTGTGACAGTGCTATGAAGAAAAAGAGTAAAGAGTAACAGAAGAACCTAACCTACAAGAGGTAGAGAAAGGCTTCCTTGAGGAAGTGACTTAAAGCTGATACTCAAAGGATAGATAGGAATTAACTAGGAGGCCTGGGAGAAGAGAGGGTGTGCCTGCATAAAGGCTGTCTCCACTCTCTTGGCAGCAGAGGAGAATGAGATGCACCCAAGTAATGGAGGAAGGGAAATAGTTTGGGACCAAGGAGTGAGGGAAAGAACGGCTTAAAAAGAAGCTAAGGAGAAGGCAGGGGTCTTGGCCAGAATAAAGATTTGAATTGCCTCCTAAAGAAGGTAGTGATCGGATCAGATTTGCTTTTAAGGATCACTCCTCGCCTTCAGCATAGATCTAGGACTCACTGTCTCGATTCTAGTCTCCTCCAGGAGATTGTAGGAACGCCCTGTATGTGGATCAACAAATATCTGAGCTTCCGTTAAATTGACCCTGCCCTAAAATTTTATCTGAAAGGGTTGGGACCACGTCTAATTGCAATTTCATTTCAGGCCAGATCCTGCACACAATTCTAGGCGGTCCTGTGTTCACTAAGCGCCCCTGTGCCGGGCTCATTAAAGGCCCATGTACGCTGACCCAGATCGGCATCTATCGCGTTTACACGTGTACGTTTACACTGAGTAAACGTACACGTGTAAATGCACGCGCATGACCACTTGCAGCTGTCCCCAAAGACACAATCGTGCCAAAGAGGCCCACGCTCTCCGAGCCGCCTCCCTTCCACACCTCGCCCAGGCTGGCGCCCCATCCTCCCCTCGCCCGTCTCGCCACCCAGTGTCTCCCAAGCCACCGCAGATCCACACTTGCTGGACTCACTTTGAGGTGTCTCCACGCCATGCTCCTTCCTCCAACTAGGCCCGCCTCTGTCTCGTTTCCATTGGTGGAGATGATGGTAAATCCTTTAATCCTCGCCCCTCCAGCTGCCAACTCACCAATCGCCGGGCAGAAGGGTGGGGCAGCCCTTCCCCGCTGCCCGCTCCGGGGCTGGGACGGGCCCGCTCCGCCCCGAGGATCTGGTTGGGCGCAGTCGCTGCCGCCACGCCTCTTCCGCCCGCCAGCCTCCAGATTTCTGAGCTGCCGCAGGGCTCTCGGGCTCCGGCGGCGCCTCGCAGACCTTTTCTGAGTCCTGCGGTTTGGACAGAAAACTACCTATGCTTTGATTCTTCAGTTCTAAGCAACAGGCTCACCAATTTTCGATCATTTAAGTTAAACATTGGTAGAGTGCTTGTGCTTTAGGTAAAGCATGGGTTGAGAATATAGGGCACTAAAAAGGGTTGAAATGAATTACAGCACTGCGTTGTGTAAGACACCTGTGTTGACGGTCAGAGAATATTACACTTGCATCGGGTTTCATTTTTTAAAAGCCTAAAACGTATGTATGAATGTATGTATGTTTATAAGGATGTTGGGAAGTTAAGACTTTAATGAAAACTGACAGTGTCCTGCACCCAAACAGTACCATTGCAGACCAGACTTGGTCTCTGCTCAGAAACCTTCCAAATAAATTGCAAACTCTTTCTTCCTGGCACTTGAAACTTTTCACTTTTGTAGTTTCAGTTCCCACTAGCCATCCCCCAACCCCCCTGCACACAGAGAGCATTATTTCTCTTTAAAGATGCCTTCCACTGTCTCACTTCCACTACCCTCGTGGACTCCTGCCAGGATGCCTGTTAACCTCTATCTAAACATGACCACCCTTAAATGCTTAAGTGCTAGAAATATATCTTCCTCATGTGAACTTCTCTAGTGGAACTTGCTTTAATAACTACACTTATTTTGCTTTATTAACCACATTTACTGTATCTTTTCCTCCCTAACTAGACTGTAAACTTTTTGAAAGTAGGGACCATACCATATTTCATCTTACTAATCATTTGATTACTGCAGTGTTTTTCAGACTGAGATATATTCTTGAGGTCTGCACTTGAGAGAATTTTTAATTTTGCTATCTACTTACACAGTAATTTTTTTTAAGTAAGCTAAGCATCATTTGGATCATTTAGATAACCAATTGAACCCTGAAACATACCAGGCAATTTCAGTGCCCAAGTTTGTTTGTATTTATGATCTCATTTTAATGCCAAGAAAGAAAACTGACTAAAATTAATAAATGATAGATGTGCTACAGATGAAGATGAAATGACATGCTGTATGAACAAAGGTTTTCCAGCAAGTTAAATAAAGTGGTGGGAGAACTGATTCTTCCCTACAGCATGAAGTCACATGCATGACAGATTCAAAAGAACCTTTGCAGTGGTCGAGCAGAACCATGTTTATCTGATAAGTAGCTATTTAGTTCAGCAAAATTTGAATTTCATTGGTTTTCAATTTTGTTTGTATTTGATTTGTATTCATCCTTTCATCAAATATTTATTCTTTGACTTTTATGATTATGCAAGAGCTTTAGAATAGAGATTATGACTAGTTTTGTGTGTGAATGTATTTAAGAAATAGTACAAAAATTTAAATCCATCCTAGGGGTCTGCAATAATGGTTTTCATTAAAAAAAAGCAATACATTACTCAATTTTTAGCAACACTGACTTAAATATTCATCATCCTCTACCCCCTTACAGCTTAGACTTAGCAAATAAAGATCTATTATAAAGCTAAAGGCATAGCTGGTATATAGACACAGGTGGTGGTGCCCCAGTTATAAAGGCCCATTGCTTTATTGATCTTTCATATTTGTTTTCAGCTTATAAGAACTCCACCTGGGTCCTTGAAAAAGAAACAGAACAAAACCTTTTGTCTCCCTGACAAATTATTCCCAGTTCCTAAAAGAATAATATTAATAAGTAAGACAAACCCACTAAGAATATATTTAAAGGACCAGGCAGTTGCTTAGCCCTTACACTCTTTGTGCTCACAGATCCCAGAAAATGTTCTTCAGAGGAAGAACCTGGCTTTGGTTATGCATCAGAACAGGTATCATTCTAGGAAGTGAGCTAAATAGACCAGAGCAACATGAAAAAAATCATTGTTATCAGCTGAATATGTTTCACTGCACCTTTGAGGATGCAGAAAATTACTGTAGTATTCAGGGAGGTCAGCTTGCTTTCACCTGGAACCAGGAGATTCAAGATCTCCTCTTGGACTTTCTGAAAGAAGGGAGCAAGTGGTGGATTGGGAAAAACTTAGTGCCACTGGGAAAACAACGTCAAGGAAAAAACAACACAGGTAAGACTCTGAGGTTTAGTGAAGGAAACTTACTTTTATTCTGGTACAAGAGAAGGAAAAAATCTTTCATCTTCCTGCGTTTGTATACAGAAGAATCAGTCACTCTACTTCATTACCATCATTCCTCTGAAATATCTCCACTTTTGTGCTACAGCCTTTGCTCTGTGTAACAAAAATGATGAGATTTTTCTGAGCCTATCAAAAGTCAACTTACCTACTGTTTCACTAAAATTATTGTGCAAGATTCTGAAATGAGAAATCTTTTATCATTTTTTCCCCGGTAAATACCTCTTTTATCATTCTCGGCTCCATGTTTCCTAACCAGAAATGGAGAAAAATTATTTGCCTCTTGTCTTTTTTTGCACAATTTTTTAACATAGAATTATACACCAGAATCTTGTGGTCTTAGAGAAAAATCCAAGGCAGTATTATATCATCATCATCTTCATTGAGGTCTAGTTAAATTAATACTAAGCCTTGTGATAATGCATAATATGAAAAAATAAATAATAATTTGTGGGGAGAAATTCTAAATTTTCATCTTTTGGAAGCTAGCGATGTGGGCTTCATACGTGGTTTTTTTTAATGCTTGCTTTTGAGTATGAGGCTCACCTGCATCTGGTCTCCCTGCAGCAGAGGTCGCCACCCCCCGGGACACCAGGTCCACCAGCTGTATTTACTTGTCCAAAAACTCCCAATGGATCTCATCAAAAGTGGACTTGTGCTCACAGAGGCATTATTTCATTTGCCAGGCTGGTAAGTGGTGAAGCCCATGCTGCCAAGGACCTAATTTTTATCAACTGGTTCTAAATGAGAAGAGCATGTGAGAGTATTAGGTGAAGAGTCTAAGAGTGAGCGACCACAGTGACTTCCTCATGCAGCCCACCCTGGTAGTTGGGAAGACCTGTGCCTTGATGTTTCCTTCATTTCTTGACTTGGGTGGAGTGTGAGAGAAACTGTACTGATAAACCCCATTTTCCACACATACCGCCCTAGCCCGTTCAGCCTTTGGGCTTTAGAGGGAAGAACAGGAAGCAAAGGAGGAAAATAAAATATGGTGGAATATAGAGGAGCTTGCGGTCAATTAGAGGTTTGCTTCTTCAGGAGTAGGAGGTGAGAATTAAGGAGGGGGTGTGTGTGTGTGTGTGTAGTTGGGTTTTTTTGTCAATTAAGCAGTGTTCTTGATAGTAGTTACATAAAATATTTATTCTTAGCTCAATGAATTCCCAGAGACTTTACAATGTCTTAGGCTGTCTAGATAAAAATTTTGTTCCACTTTTTTAAAAATCACAAATACATTCTTATTAAAATATAAAGCATCTATGGATGCTTCATAAAACAATACACCATCCATTTTTCACTCTCCTAGAATTGAGTTTTTAGACATTCTCAGCTACTGTAGGTTTTGGAGTAAAAACGCATTTCCTGATATTATTCATGTAGTTACAAGAGATTTCTGCCATAGAACATAGAATGTTTGTGCAGAACATAATCTTGGACAAAAAGAATTCAATTTATCCAAGCCAGTTCTGCAAATTCTGAGTGTGCGTTCCAATGATGAGAGGGAGGATGTCACTTTGGTGAAGAGCTCAGGCTCTTAGAGTCAGGCTTCCTGAGTTCGTACCTTGTGTCTTTAACTTTCCAGGGGTGGTGCCCTGGGCAAGCAACTTAACCTCCACGCAACCTGGTTTCCTTCCGAGGATGTTTAGGAGGATAAGATATTAGACCAACGCCTGACATACTATTGCAATTATTGCTTTTAGTATTTTATTATTATGCAATTTCTATTTTTTGTTCAAAATTTACTTTCTGCTTCTAGATAGCTTCACATTCATGTCAAAGGAGAAAACACTTTTGGAGATCCAATACTGCTAGTAACTATTATTGTCATAGTGTTTATACATCTTACTGTGAATTTAAGAAATGCCTCTTCCAAAATAACATATTGGTAGAAGTATTTGTAAATTTGTTCCTTAACTTTCAAAAGAGAAGTCTCATGCTCCGTCTTATTGTACAATATTACTTCAGTTACAGATTGACTTTATCAACATTTGAATAGTTGAGCTCATGATTTTTCTTTTATTTAAAAAAATAAAAGCACTTAAAGATTAAGCTCACATACAAAAGCATTAAAGCTGGACTAGTATACAAGTTGGAATAATAAGTAACAGTTTGTGTTAAAAGTGGTGTTGTAATAGGGTTAATAAACATCTTGTATGAGCCAAGACAGCCAAACTGGTTGGGAAAACTTTGAAATACTTCCATGCCATTCATAAAGTAAGTAATATTATGAACTCATTACTTCAAACCTAATGATCATAGGATGACACAACAACCATTGATAAATGGAGTTCTGTCCTAGGGACGTCTGAAAAATATATGTGTAGTGCTATCTGCTGTGCTGGCTACGGTCCTGGTGTTGCACATCCTTGGAAACACTGTGTTTTAGGAAAATCATCAGCTTAACATTATCCTCAAATTGCACGCTTGCTCCTACTTTGGGGAGAAGAGTACGCGAGGACGGTGTTGCTGATCTGAGCTAGTGCACAGCTAGTGGTTCACTTTGGGTGTGAGTGTGGAGAGCTTGTAGTAACAGGAAAGAAGGTGGTATCTGTGGTGCAGGTGCTGGTAGGTGGGCAGATGTAATGGTAGGAGTCTGTGGAAAAGACTCTTTTTTAATTACTTCCATTTTCTCCTTGTGGTAGAAGACAAGGTTCTGTCACCTGACCTGAGAATGAGGATCAGGGAGACTCCTACTTGTTGGAAGTGGAACTGGGGCATCCAGGAGTGTGGGAGCGAGAATAGACTAGGGAAATGCAGTATGATTACCAGGCAGGGTGAGGGCAGGCCCCTGGAGATACGTGATTCTCAGTTTCAGCTGAAACATCGTCAGCGAGGTTGAATGATTTCTCCAGCCACGGTCGCAGCATGACGAGAAACAGCCAGTGCACACAAGGAGGCATGTTCAAGAATGCTGTTGCCCACCACTAATCCTCTTTTGTCTCTACCCATAAGGATTATCAAACACAAAGAAGAATGCTTAGAATGTAATTTCTTAAAATAAACTTAATTCTCGGTCTTCTCACTGCTGACCCAATCGGGGGACCTAATTTTGAGATGTTGGATAGTATACAGTGATATGACTGTGCTTCAGAGCAAAAGACCTACTTCATAATTCCTGCATTATTATTCTTTAAAAAAACTGGATAGTAATCTTTAACTTGTGTTTTCTTGAGTATCACATCTGTGCTTGTAATGATTATTTTATAGACTTCCATCTAGAGCTGTATTCTGTAAGTTAACTTTTGCATTGACCTCCAAATAGATGCCTTTTCAGACCAAGATACCAGTTATGAAAGAAATGGAAATAATTCTCATTCACACTGGAGACCCAAGAAGACAAAAAGAGAAGTTACAATACTGAGAAATAAAGTGACCTCAGGTAATGTGTAGTGATATTAATCCTTCCCTTAACAGCTGCACAGGTGAATTAATGCTGAAGTGTGTATTCATAACAGGTACCCCCAAATATTCATTGCATTCTGTTTTGTCTGATCTTAATATTGGAGGCTTTGCTTTCATTTTATGGATGCTTGTTTTCTTGGTATTCTTTTGGTCATCCTATTTTCACATATGCCCAAATAAAAGACAAGGTTTTTTCCCCCCAAAATTTTCCATCAAAAAAGAAAGTCTTCTTAAAGTCTGTGCAGTCTTTCAAAGTGTGATCTCTCTCTCTCTTTTTAATGTTTGAAAACCAAATACTATTTAGGGACAATGCATTAGCCTGAAATGGCCTCAGGTCGATATCAGTGTTGGCTGATTTTAGAGATCAGCTGAGAGAAAGGGAGAAAAAGAGATAAATTTTAAGTGGGATCTAGTGATTACTCTTAGGGGTATGACCTCACAACTTCAACATTTAGTTGTTCTTGTCATTAAATCTTTTAAGCATGCCTTAAAAGAGCAGTTTAGTAAGTGTTACTGCTGTAGAGACATGAATACATATTTAGAAAGCAAATGTAAAAATCACCTTTTCTGAATGCTTTGTAAATATGTATTTGTGAGTTGGGAACAAAGTGTTTGGTGAAAGTATTAGACAGAAGTAAAGATGGTATATTTTGGGGAACCATTGAATAATTCCGCAAATTATTCTAGTTATTATTAAAGCAATAATGTTGAAAATGCGTTTGAAAAGTTTGAAGAAAGCTATGTCATGAAGTGGGAGTTTCAGGAAAGCAATGCTTCTAAATTAATATACTACTTGATATAACATGTAATTTTAAATATTCCTTTGGAAAACTAAATTAAATAAGTGGACATTTGATGTTTCACTACATCCTTCAAGTTTATGTAGTCGAGTTTGTTCAAAAATAACTTAAAAATAACTTAAAAAAAATCTCGTTGAGACAGCTTTATTTTGGGGATTGCCTTATATTTATGTATGTATGGTCCTCCAAAAAATTTTGTGTCACTTTAAGTATAACCCTCTTAAATTTAATGTAAATGTATCTAATTATTTTACTCACTTTGAGAATATTTTTGTAGTAGTTTATCACATTCAAAAACAAGTTTTAGCGGAGGTACTGGGGATTGAACCCAGGACCTCGTGCATGCTAAGCATACCCACCCCCCAAAATTTATTTTAATAATAGGTACCCTTTCTTGCCTTGTTATATGCCTTCTGGTTCTAATACTTTCTTGCTTTCTTCTGTCTTTTGTTGAAATTTTGTTCTTTAATATTCTTGTTTTAACTGTTTACTTTCAAGAAGTTGTTTTTCTTTTTAAAAACACATCCTGATAATCACTATGCTGTACGTCAGAAATTAACACAACATTGTAAACCAACTATACATCGGGGAAAAAAAATTCTTATACCTATTTTTTTCTACTTTTTTGGGCTCAAAAATGAAAGTCTCTTTTGAAATCCTGTCATCTGGTTAAAGGATTATAGCATGAGTTAGTTTTTCCACTCCCCACTCTCATTCCCTAGATCTTGTTAGGATATTCTGTGGGTTTTATTCAGGTGATTACTATATTAAATTATTTTTACATTACACAATTTCTTGTAAGAATATTTTTTTGAAACTTTTGTCAAAGTCAGATTTCCAACAATAATTTAGAACTTCTCTTTTAACTGGTCTTGTATTTTATCACCAACCACTTTGTACCATAACTACTCTTGAGTTCTCAATTTTGTCTCATCTCTATTCTGATTGTTTTTCTAAGAAAGCTCTATTGGTGGAAATATTTTGGCAACTTGTGAATAGTCTAAAGGGGTCTTTCTTGTCACTTCCCAATGTTAAAAGGAAAATTTCCCCCAGTTTACTGATCTAGTGGGCTTTTATTCAGTGATTCATGAATCAGGCAGCAAACAACCTAGCAGACAGAAAGGAGCTCCCAAGAGTCACTCAAGGGGAGAGATTTTTATAGACAAAGTGAGCAGAAACAAAGAAGTTATCCTGGGCATTTGCTGATTGGTTAAAATAGGGTTACTTCCCTTATATGGAGCAAAGGGAAGTCTTCCAGCCAGGTTATGTAACTCTTGCTGGGCAGGCAGGCGCTGACTGGTTGACCTCCTCCATCCTTTCCTGGGAGAGCCCTTTGCTGATGTGGGACTTAGCTTGAGTGACTCCATGTTGGGCGTGATCTGGATACTTAAACACCAGTGAGCCATATTTTAGCATGTGTACAGTTAAAACATACGCTCAGTTGCTATAACAAGGGCCAAAATGGTAGTTTACACAAAAACAGAAATTAATTTCTCTTTTACGTAACAGTCTGAGTAAGAAGTCTAAGGCTGATAGGACCCAAGCTCATTCTTCCTTGTTCTGTGGTCATGAACTTGTAGCATCGGTCTCATGGTCCATAAAGAAGCTGTTTTAGCTCCCCCGACTCCATGTTCCAGCAAGTGGGAAGGGGAGCGGGAAGTGGGGGGAGGGGTGCTGATCCTTTTTAAGGGCAAGCCTGGAACTTACACCTATTGCTTCTTCTCATATCCCACTGGTCAGGACCTGATCACATGTCCACACCAGTGAGAGCTGGGAAATGTAGCCCTTAGCTGGGCTACCATGTTCCTGTGGAAGGAAGGGTATAGTGAATAACCAACACTCTCTGCGTGAAGGTGAATCACAATCTTCTCCTCAAAACTCTATAGACATCATTCCCTTGTCTTTGGCATTTGATGCTATAGTGGAAAAGACTAAGGCTAGCCCTTGCCCCCCTTTTTTTCTGATGGCCTTTTCCCCCCATCAGATTGCTTGTAGAGTTTTTAATGCTTGTACTACAGACATTTTCTTAGCATGTATCTAGGTTACTTTTCACTGATTTTTGCCTAGAATGTGATGTTATCTTATAATATAAATCTTTTCTTGGCTCATGAAAATTTTATTCTATTCCACTCATTTATCCCTTCTATTTCATTGCTCTGGTTTTGTCCCCAAGAAATACCAGTTATCTGTGTGCTATCCTGCTGGTTTCTGTCCTCCATATCTTTCCTGTCATTCTTTTAAATAAAAAGATGGTTTCCTATTTATCACTCTTTCTGTTGCATTCTGAGAGAATGCTTCACATTTCTCCTGCATATCACTAATTTGACTTTTCCACATCTGTTCTGTTCTGTATTACCTCCAACATGGATTTTAATTTTTCTGTAGCATTTTTGGTTTTCTTGAAATCCTCTAACATCATTTATTTCTCTTTTAATCTATCTCAGTCTTGTGCACTTTAGCCTTAGTTGATTTTCTGTTTAAGGATATTAAACAGCTTTCTGAAATATTTTCTTGATTTTGCTGTTAATAATTTTCAGAGATATACTTTCCACTGAGTACTTTGGAGTCAGTTCCCAGGCTCTAGAATGCTATTTCATAGGCTCCATTTTGTTTGTTTTTTCCTTATCTCTTAAGGCAAGGTCTGCCAAAACACAATGTTTGTCAGTAGACTGAAAATTGGATCATGCTAAGTTCAGCAGCCTGTTGACTTATTTAGTGGTCACAACCCCTTCTCTGATCTGCAGTTAAAGTTCAGAGTCAATTGCATGTTCCCAGCAAGCTATCAACCTAATGACCCTAATCTGAGGTGATGTTTTTCTCAGTTCTACATACATTGTTTAATTTTCACATCATTGGACACTATTATACCCATTTTCCAGATGAGAAAACTAAGAGGTTAAGCAATTTATTCAAAGCTTCATAGTTACAGTAAAAGGCAAACCAGCTCTGGACCCCAGGTCTTTTGACTCAGAATCCATTTCTTTCTTCAGTCCTCCATCCTGATCAGAAGAACATCTCAGAACTCTGGCCTCCCCCAGCAGTAGTAGCTGCAGTGATTTTGCTGCTATACTCACGTATGAACAACAGACGGAATGTTACAAGAAAAGATAAGAGAGGGCAGGGTAGGCTTGCTATAGCCAGGTCAGTTTGAATGGGTCTAGGTGCTCATGCTTTGAACGATCAACTTAAGTTCATAGCAAATAGACACGTTAATACCCTGATATTGCCTTCAAATCAGAGTTTTCCTCCTGAATAAATGTGGAAAGAGAATGAAAGCAATAATGATAATCTGGTAAAATGTTGTGAATGATCATTTTCTGAAAGTCTATCAGAAATATGCTCTGATTTATTAATAAAGATCCCCTCCTTTTGGTAAAATTATAAGGCAAGTATTTCTGCAGTCATGTTTATATTGTGGCAACTTAATGAATGGTATGATTTAATATTTATTTTCATACAGAGAGTCTGGGCCTTGAAAGAGTAAACAAAGGAATTCGACAATAGTGTTGGATGCTTCCACTCCAGAATTCTGGCTTGTCTGCAGATGTATCAAAAGTGGGAGGCGATCACTGTGGTTCCTATATAAAACAATTTGCATTGTTTTTGGCCAAGAGTAATCCTCAAGTAAAATAGAAAGAAATATTTCTATTCTAGACTTTTACTTGAACTTAATCAACTTTCTTTTTTTCTGTCGTAGCCACTCATCTTTCAACCACATGTCACCAACCTGCTGGTGCTAATCTTGTAAGTACTCACCTTCACAATGCACGTCTTGAAGTATTATTCTCTTTGTCAGTCCTGGTGGGTCCTGCCAGAACTCCACTCTGTCTCCTAGAGTGCTCTAAATATAGTTTTCTAAAAAGGGAAGAAAAGTACTTAAGGGCAGGAAAGAATCAGGTTTGATGGATGCTTTATTAAAGAAGATTTTAAAGCCTTTCTTTGGCTTTCATATTGGTGTAATTATCATTTGTTGGTTGTCTCTTTTATTTATTCCCTGCTTCATGCCCACAAGGAAGAATGGCATCTTAGAAAAATATATGCAATGCAATAAAATTTAAGTTCTTTTTAAAAAGGGAAAAAGAAGTCTGAGTGACAAGAAAATAAAGGTAGGAACTCTGCACAATCTATAAAATTTCACCTTCAAGAAATTTCTCAGCCTTCTTGCCTTGTGTCCTACATAGAAGCCTTTCAGTGCATGTCTAGATATAGATGTACCTTTATTTGATCCAACATAAACTGCAAAAAAAGTGTTTCTAGCAGTATAAGAGAGAACAGGGATGAAATAAATAACCCTTTAAATCAGTATTTCTCAAACACTGTTCCTTAAAATAACAACCAATGTTGCTTAAAATGTTGCCAGAAGGAAAGGAAACAAAGAGTTTTGACTGTAGGACGTCTCGGAGCCTTTCATGTGCCCCAAGCATCATCACTCCTCACTGTCGTCACCACTGCTGCACCCCAGCCTGAGCCACCGTTGTGTCCCAGCTAAGCTTTGCATCTGCCTCCTGGTGATCTCCCTGCTTCCACCCTTGGCGCCTTTCTGTCCATTCTCAACCCAGCAGTCCCAGGGGTCCTTCATCCCAGGAGTCAGATCTTGCTGCTCCTCAAAGCGCCTGGGTTCTTTCCACCTCATTCAGAGTCAAATCTTTCTCTTCTCAACTATCTGACATGTGATGTGCTCTCACCACCCCCTCCCTCATTCCCACCCACCCCAGGATCTTTCTGATCCCCCTCAACTCCCACTTTTGCTCATCCAGCCTCCTTGTTCTTCCTCAAACAAACCCAGTGGGCTGTGGCCGCAGGGCCTTTGCTCCCCTCAGATGTCCTTCTCCAATGTATTGGCAGAGCTTTCTCTCTCCCTTCATTCAGCTCTCAGCAAAATGCCCTCTCCTGACAGCTGAGCGCTCTGTCTCTTCATCTGCTTACCTTTGTTTTGTTTCCTTCATGGCACTTGTTCAGTGCATGATATCATTTGCACCACAAAGATGGATGCTCCGTGACAAGAACTTGGCTTGTTTTGTTCTTTGCTGTATCCTCAGTTCCCAAGAACGTTGCTGAGCACACAGTAGATGTTTAATTATCATTTATTGAATGGTTGACAATAAGCACAATAATACAAACTGTGAATCTTAAACAGGATAAGATAGTTCACCACTTTCTCAAAACTGTTGGCATATAGGATCTTTTCAAGAAAAATGCCTATTAATATCTCCCAGGACATGGGGAGTCTAGAGCAATTTTGGGAACACTGCCTTAATTGTTCATCATTTGGTAAAATCAGATTTAGCCTTTTCTTTTACATATTTTTATCTTTTAGTCCAAGACCCTGTGCCATTCTATCAGCCCATTTCCTGCAGTACCACCCAGAGTCACACAGCAGGGAGTATCAGCTATGCCTGTACCTTCTAGCCAGACACCAGAGCTCACCAGGCCTGCGTCTGTCACACATGCTGAAAAAGCTCTGGTAGAAGTAACTTCAAGCTCCAAAGAGGACTCACATCCAGATGTCTTCACCCCTCGTCCACAAGAATCGTTTCAGAACACAACTGATCAGGTAAATACGGAAAATTGAAGTTACAACTGGGTACCTTTGTGACACTAAAAAAGCACTTTTATTCTTTCCTTCTGTGAGGATGGTGTGTCAAGAATAGTGATGCTAAGAAAGAGCCTCATTCACCCTTTACCTAAGCAGAATCTGAGAACGCCTGATGGATCATGGGGTTCAGGGCAGGCTGCTCCAGAATGTGCCACTTTGGCTGGATTATTTCAAACCAAAAACAATTGAATTGAATTGCAGTTGTCTTCAGTTGAAGGCAATTAAGGCCCGGCAGACTCGGGATAAGCTTTTTACCTCCCCCTTAACAGCCTATAAGAAACTAGGGAGGGAGCTTGCACCAGGAAGAGAGCTATTATCAAAGATAGCTTTCTTTACATTAGAAAGACTGCTCCGCATGGCGTGGCAAACATTTGTTTACTGAACACTTATCTGCTCTTCCCATCTTCCTGAGGACTGCCTTCCTCTCCGTAGGCGTCTCAGACCCGTACCCCCTTCTCCTTAGCTCACAGTGGGCATGTAACCTCAACAGCCTGTCTTTGAGCCTCACGTCTTTGGGACTCCCACACGTACATGGTTAAATTTGTTTTTCTCCTGTTAATTAGTTTAATTATTAGACGAGCCAAAGTCCCTAGAAAGGAAGAACGGAAATGCTTTCCTCCCCTAAGAGACAAGCTTGTATCCCAATTAAAAGCAAAAACAAAATGAGCCCATGAAACTACTGCACAATTCCACATATATTTTATACCCATTTCAGGATTTAATGTCTTACTGTTATTACTTACTGATACTTTATTTAGTGCTTTGGATGAAGAAGAAGTTTTGTTGGCCTGCCCCACTTTTTCAGCAGCAGCAAACCCTTCTGAAGACTCCTCCTACTCACCATCTCATCTCTCCTTTTGTCCTTCCATTTTCCCCACAAACTTAAAAAGAAAAAAAAAGTCATTGTGACCACGCTGATGAAAAAAAATCATCCTGCTTCTCCCCAGTTTTTTTAACACCAGCCTTACTTACATACAAGCTAACGTTTCCCTGCTGAAGAATAACCGTGTTTACTCTGGGTCTGCTTTCAGTGGTAATGGAAACTAGATGTGCACTGTTGTCTCTGTTAGCATTGTGTTCTCCCAGAGAGAAGCTGACCAACAGTAGTTTAAACAAAGAGTGTTTCGTTTTCCTTAAACAAAGAGAGAAGTGTAGACTAACCAAAAAAAAAAAAAGTCTACAGATAAATGACTAGAAATATTAAGAGAATTTAGCAATATGGCTGAATACCAGGTCAGTATACTAAAGCTAATAGTGTTTTTACAGCTCACTCAGAAGATTAGATTAAAAAAGAAGATATAATAGCCAAGTACCTAGGAGTACATCTCACCAAAAATGTGCAAAACTTCTATGGAGACAACTATAAAGTTTTATTAAGAGACAATAAAGAAAAGCTAAGTAAATGGTAAGATTTGCCATGATTCAGGCCAGGTTTCCAATTCTGCTCTAAAATATCAAATAAGTGATTTTCAGTGACTTTCCAGGCTAGAGCTGGAATGGCATTAAATACGACCTGCCCTCCATTGGCAGACATCCAGTTGGATGGCAACTGTGTCTCACTTATATTTTCATTCCTGCTATTTATACCTCAGTCCCAAAGTATAAAACCAAAATCAGGTGGTCGTCAATTCTATGATCACCCTGTGAATGATCCAACCTCCTACAACCTGGGAATCAGGAATAACCCTGTTCGATTGTATGGTCCATGAGGGCAGGGCCGTAACTGACTTTAACGGCTCTGTCTCCTAAGCCTAGTAGCACACAGGAAGCATTAATAAAGATTTACTGAATTAAGCTATAAGTGGGCTGTTCTTTGGAAATGGACCAAGTTGTTGGTGTAAACCGAAATTATCTCAGGGCTGGACTTCCCATTCAAAAAACAATAGCCTCTTAAATTCTGGGGCCATGTTCACTGTTCTAGGTTTCTACCTCCCACCTCCTGCCATGTGGTATTTCAAGTACTTACTTCTTGAACATGAACTCTTAAATTGAGAGAAATAAGCAGAGTGAGAAACCTGAGAGGATAAACATATTTCTGAATAGAAGTCTCAAACTACTAATGTGCAATAATTTTATATGAACAATTTTGACAAAATCTTTTGTTCCCCATAGGCCATAGATGAGATAACACGGAACTTCAGCAAAGTAATTCGTGGTTTGCAAGCTCACGACAAACTACAGCAAGCTTGTGAGGTCCTCCAGAACCTGGCAGCCTTTATCCCAAGATTTTCTGAGTCATCTCAGGTAAGCAGAGGGTGATTGGGAGGGAAAAGCTTCGAGGAAGAGGAAAGTGAAAAAAATAAAAAGAATAATCAAATAGAAAATATACCCGCTGGAGATTGTGCCCCGTGCAGAAGTCAGCATGATAAAACTACTTTGTGAAGACTCAGCTTAAATATTAGCAGGTGTATTTGTACCTTCAGATCTGAAGATTGTGAATAGATTGATCCGTAGTGACATTCTCAGATACGCTGTTTATTTTCTTTTGTTTATTTATCAGGTTCCTACCTTTCTGATACATTTGTTTGGAGAAATCATGGGAGACAAAAGTAGATCCTCTTCTTGTGGTAGACAGAGAAAGGCATCCTTGAGACAGGCATCAGAAATCTGTCCCTGGCAGTGTTTTCACTTCTTGCAACCACACTTGCCAGTGTTACTTCTCCATAATTATTCATGCCTTGTTCTACTCCTTATACTTTAGTAAAATAAGGTGGTAGGATTATTGAGACTTTTAACTTTCTTTTTTCCATTTCCTGTATTCTCAGATATTCTGCAGTAAGCATAGAGATGCAGTCTGGGTTGGTTCATTTGGACTTTTTAAGTATAGAAGTAATGCATGCTTGTTATTCCAAAATCAGCACAAAAGCATATCAAGTAAAAAGCAGAAGCCCTCACCGTCTTGGTCCTTCTGGCAAGTCCCATCCTCTTATGTAGTCACTGTTGTTAGTTTATTCTTAGTTTGCTGTGCAGAACCTTCCAGACATTTTTCTGTGTATGTACAAGTTTGTTGTTCTGTATTAATAAAAATGGGGTTAAAGGATAGAATTTTTTCTGCCCCTTGATTTTTTCACTTAATACTGTGTCATGGATATCTTTTCATGGCAGGCCACAGAAATGAACACCCTATTCTTAATGTCCATTTGGGTATTTTTCATATGTTTACTCCTGCAAATAGCATATCCGTGAACATCCATGTACCTACATCTTTGAGTACTTAATGCAGATATTTCTGTGAGATAGAGTGCTGGAAATAGAATTGATGGGCTTCTAAGTGTTCAATAGATGACAGAATTATCCTTTTATTTTACATTCCCAGCAACCACTTCCTCATACTCTTGCTTTTGCCAATGTCAAAGGCAAGAAAAGAAAGAAAAGCATTTTATTGATCACTAAGGAAGTTGGACATCATTTTATATATTTATTGGCCTTTTTTTTTTCTCCTCTGAATTGCTTCTGTATGTCCTTCATTCATTTTTCCCCTGTGGGTTTGTTTTTTTTTTGTCATTTTCTTATTTGTTTGTAAGAGAGCTTTATTTATCATTGATGTTAACTTTTTGTTATATATGTTGCAAATATTTTGTGTCCATGTCTTTGTAACTTTGTTGCATCTTTTACTTTGAAGTGGTTTTTAATAAATATAACTACAAAAATAAATAACATTTCAAAACAGAAACAGTGGATATTTGGTAAATATCTGTCAACTGGCTTTACCTGCTTACTTGATTTGTTTTACTTGCAAACAACCCACTGAAGGGAGAACTGGTGTTTTCTGCTTCATTTAAAAATCCTCCTCGATCTCCCTTTTAAGTCTATCTCGAATACTTTTAAGCCCCTAAATATAATGGGGTGGTCTACTCAGTATTTCAGTCAGGGTTGCTCTTTCCCTCAGCATTCCTTTTTTTAGCTTAGTTTTGTTAATTAGATATTTGATCTACTTACCTCTCAAAAAGGGTCATGTAAGTTCCTTAGAATAACCTGAAATACACATCCTCCCCATGGGTAACGCATAACAATCTTTTCCTTCTCTGCCAAATTGTTATATTGCTTCTTGTAAAAAAAAATGCATTTGAAATGCATAAAGAACACAGAACTCCTTATGAGAACACAGATTTTAAATGACCATAAGCGGCTCAGGGGTATGTGTCTGCTTTCTAAAATTCCAGGTCAGCGTCATGGATTCCCTTGTTTACCTGAATGAACAGCTGCTGAAGACCAGCAGCAGCCTGGACTCCGGAATGCCCGTAACCGTCTGCCTCTTTCACGCCCTCAGCAACGCTGTGAAAGCTGCTGAAGCAAGTCAGCGAAGATCCAAGCATGACATTGAACAGGTAGGTACGGTGCATGCCAGTGGCCAACTCTGCTTAGAAACATTTTAATCTCGACCAGGCCAGGCATCACGCAGCCTCTCCCTAGACCCAGAGAGAATCCAGCTGAGCAGGCCGCACCGAGGAGACCATTCTGTGAAGCCTGCTCTGGGGCCTTCCTCTCTACCTAGTGCTGAAAGCCAGTGAAAGGAATTCAGTAAAGTGTCTGGTATACAGTAAATTATATTCACCTGGAAAGTTGTTCAACATCATTAGTCACTAGGGAAATACCAATCAAACCCCAGTGAGATACCATTTCAGATCCAAAAAGACAAACAATAATGAGTGTGGACAAGGAGGCAGAGAAGTTGGAATCCTCATATATTGTTGGATTGCAAAATGATGCAGTCACTTCAGAAAACAGTTTGACAGTTCTTTAAGATGCTGAAAATAGAAGTACCGTGAGGCCTAGCAATTCTGCTTCTTGGTATATACCCACATATGCCCACACAAAAACTTGTACGTTCATGTTCATAGCAGCATTATTCAAATAGCCAGACAGCCAAAAAGTGGAAACAGTGCAAATGTCCATGATGTGATGAGTGGATAAATAAAATGTGGTAGGTCCTCATGATGGAATATTGTTCAGCAACAAAAAAGAATGAAGTATTGATACATGCTACAATGTGGATGAACCTTGAAAACATCATGCTGAATGAAGGAACCAGACATGAAAAGACTGTGATTATGATTCCATTTATATGAACTGTCCAGAAGAGGAAATCTGTTGATACAGAATGTAGATTAGTAGTTGCCTAGGGCTGGAGGTGGGGACAGGAGAGTGGAAGGTGAATGCTACTGGATTCTGGGTTTATTTTAGGGAAGATGAAATGTTCTAATTTGATCGTGAAGACAGCTGCACAACCCTGTGAATATACTAAAAACAAACAAAACAAACAAAAACCATTGAATTGTATACTGTCAGTGGGTAAATTGTATATGTGAGTTTGATTGCAATAAAGCTATTTTAAAAAAAAACATTTATCATAAGCAGATCGAGGGCAGCTTATATCACGGGGCAAAGAAATACTTCCTTGGGTGACCCTCGGATTTGATATAAAGGATGACGAGTCCTTAGCCAGACTGCAATGATTTAGTCCATGGGTCCTTCCAGTCAATGTCACCCTTCATTACATCACTGTCAAGATCCTTGTCCCCTTCCCGACTCTCTCAAAACATTATTTCACTAACGCAGTACACTGAGGTTACTCAAGTCACACAATATTTCCTTCTAAACGCAGGTGGAAAATATACTGAAAATGTCCTTGCTGAGCCTTGGGAGGATCCAGGAAGCATTTCTACCGCAGAACCGGTGCTCCGAGTCTGCAGTGACTCTGACCTCTTCCGCTGCTACTCTGATGCTGAGCAGGTAGCAGCAGGAAGGAGAGGGGAGAGTTTCGTTTTAGGCTTTTGACCTTTAGAGAACACGCAGAAACTGATTTCCATTTACCTTTTTTCTCATTAGACAAAACATATCAACTTTACCTCGGAGCTCTTACACCCTTGGTTCCCCAGCACCTGTGAGGTTAGGCTTTCCGTCAGTGTCTGCCTTGGAGGAGCTCCTGAATAAACACCCAGGAGTCAGCGTCCAAGTGAGTGTGAAGTTCATTCTGATCGGCGTGAAAATGGGATTTGATGGCTGTAGGCATTTGGGTAAAAGGAATGCATCATAAAGGTGTAAGCTGACTGGACCAAATGAAAGAAGGTTGTGTTCCATTAATTTCTGTTTCACACTGGCAGGAACAGAGACCTCTTAAAAATGACCCACTGTAGAGGTTGGGAGCATTAAATAGACATAGATTTAACTGAGTTTCTGGGTTATGATTTGAATTGATCTCAACTCTTCGCAATTTATACAAAGCTGGAAATATCTGAATAATCATTGACTCAATATACCAACCTAAGGATATGGGTATGTTGAATTTCTTTCAGCAAGTATCTAACAAATAGAAGTAAGATTGTTGTCTTATCCTGTGGAGCAGAATTCTTACTTCCTAGTAAAATGAAGTATAAAGATGTAAAAAAAAAAAAGAATTCTGAGGGTCACAAGTAAATGACTCATCTTTCATTAATTTTTCCTTGTATGATGCTGTAAGGAAAACTATTTCATTTGAGCTACCAGCAAGGGGAAAATCCCAGCATTTACTTTATGGTCTCTGACACCTTCTTACCAGGGTGTTGTTTATAAATATTTCAATAGTTGATAAAACTAGCGTTTTCTTGTCTCTAGGTAACAGGACTAGCTTTCAATCCTTTCAGAGATTTTGATAACAAGAAGATTGTTGGAAGCATCGGAAGTGTGTTACTAAGCTCTAATCATAAATTGCTCCAAGTCCATGATTTAATGGAAGATTTCGAGGTATAACTTGATTATTAGGGAATAAAATAGAAGGGAATAGGGATTCCTGGAGAATAGGATGGAAGGAATGCAACACTTGAAGGAGATCATGTTGGATTTGTGGGCATGTCATTGTTTCATTATTCACGTCATTACTTAGGAACTCCTACAAAGAGATCTACCTTACCCTTAGGTGTTTTAGGTGTTAGACTATATACTCTCCCTTAACCCCTGGCACTCTGTTCCCTACTGACATTCAAAGAGGAAGACCTAGGCAGTTCCGTTCCATTATTACTGAAAAGATGACTGAAAAGCAGCAATGGATGGGCCATCTTACAATTGAAGACTGATGAACTGTCTCTTATTCTAGATCACACTCTGGAGAAATGAGAGCATGGAAACCCATCCCACCAACCTCAACGTGAGCACAGACCATTTTATTATCATGGTAAACGTCACTTCCCTGGAGAAATCCCTGATAGTGCACGTAGCGCCTGAAAGTCCCCTCTTAATGACACTCTACCTGGGCTTCCAGTACCAGCCTAACCACACGTGCTCCCACCTGAACATCACCTTGCCAAAGGATAAGGTGTCGCAGAAAGGTAAACCCCACCCAGATGTCAGACACCTAGAAGTGTATGTTTGCCTCTTCTTTTAACTTTTTATTTTGAGATAATTGTTGATTCACTTGCAGTTGTAGAAAGTAGAACAGATCTTACATACCTTTCACCCAGTTTCCCCAGTGGTAACATCTTGCATAACTATAGTGCAGGGTCACAGCTGCGAAGTGACATTGACACAATGCATTTGTCTTATTCAGATTTCACCAGTTTTGCAAGCACTCGTGTGTGTGAGTATTTAGTTCTATGTAAGCTTATCACTTGTATAGATCTATGTGACCATGAAATGCAGTTTTTAATAAGATGGATTGTGGAATGGATAGAAGGATATGTATGTGATAAAGCAAATGTAGTAAAATGTTAGCTGTAGAATCTGGTGAGTGACAATATGGGCGTTCACTGTAAAATTCTCTCAACTTTCTGTGTGGTTGAAATTTTTCGTAATGTCGAGACTCCCTGGAGAATAGTTCTAGCACAATAGGTTGTGTATATTTCCAACTTTATATATCATAGTTAAATATATATGCAATATATTGTATATTTCAACTTTATTTCTAATCTCAGTAAGTCTT